AGAGCATATTAAACTTGCATCCATGCTTGTAACTTTCTTTAACAGTCATGCAATTAAAAACCAAATTCTCATCATTGTGTTGGAAGGCACCCTAAGACACAAACAAACACACAAAAACAACTCTTTTTGGGTTTTTCAAAACTTTTTCTATTTTTTTTTCAAAATTTTCAAATTTTCGTATTTTTCTTTCAAGACTCACCAAAACAGTTCAAAACACTCTAAAAACACTTAAAACCAGTGAGACACAACTCTAGTTATGCTAGGTGGTAAAATCCTACGAATTTGCAATAAAAACACTTGTTTACCCCCTCCCCACACTTAACCCAAACATTGTCCTCAATGTTTCAAACATAGACTTACAAGCAAACAAGCAAACAACACAACTAACAAACATGACAAGCATGGCAAAGTAAAAACAAGAAAGATTCGAGTTTAGAAACGCAAATCTGGTTATAGAGGAAAATGATCTTTGGCTTCAGTAGTGAATGAATCGGCACATATTTTGTCATGCTTGTTGACTTTCCACAACTTTGATCTTGAACTGGATTGGAGTTCTGAGTAAGGAAGAGGAGAATTCCTTGGTGATGGTGATTTGATGGCATTGTACGGCGAGGCTTTGCTTTTTGGCGACTGATGCGTTAATATGTTGTTGAAGCTTCTCGAGCTCTTGGATTCAACTCAGACTCATTCTGCTGGGTTGATTGATTGTGCAGGCTGCATTCTTCTCTACTTGTTTCTTCTGCACGGCAAGCAAGCACAAGGTAGAGGTGATGGTCTATTTCTTTGTTCAATCTTTCCAAGTGCCGACCTATATTTTTCTTTCTCCTTGTCCCACAAGCAAAAGCAAAGGTAAAGGAAAAGCATGCCATGAGATATTTTTGCCTTCAACTCTGATGATATGAGGTACTTTTGCTTTTGAAGAAGTATCTTTCCATATGTTTATTCTTGAACTGGGCTGGGGAGCTTCTTAGCAAGGAAGATGAGACTTGATCTTGAAGGAAATCGGACCATGAGTAGTCTGACATGGCAAGTGATCCTTAGCTTAGTTGAGGATGAATTAACACGTTGTCTTCACATGCTTCAAGGTATCATTTTCACTTACCTTATCTGTTCTTCAAGCAGATGTGACATCTTCTTCGGAAGTACATCAACAGTTGAAGATGAGTACTCGAGAGTAATGCTAGGTAAGCAATCAGGAAAAGGTTTCAGGCAATCGGTTCCAGATCAGAAGATTGATACCAAGTGCTGGCTGATTACCCTCTTTCTCTTTATCTCGCAGGTGAGAACAAAGACAAGGAAAAGGACAAGGAGAAAGCATGATATGAGATACTTTTGCTTTCAACCTTCATGATATGAAATACTTTTGTTCTTGATGACTTGTTTGCAAAGGTACCCCAGGGAATGAGGAACATTGAGTAACTCGAAAGGTTTCGTTGGGAATACATTCTCGGAGATGAAGAAAGGTTGAGAAAGTCTGTCTTGCTATGGATGGTGAAGTTGACATTTATAGGAATTTCTTCATAACCGGTAGAGGTACTATTCTTTTACTCTTGTCGGCAACCGTTGGGTGATTGAATAGTAAGATTCACGCGCTTTCTACTTTGTCAGAAATCTTTGCCCGTAATTTCCGCAAAGCTGAGGTTGTGTGTAACAAGTGCTGGCAAGTCTGGAAAAGTCGATCTTTTGAAATTTGGAGATCGGCCTGTGGTTTCTGAGCAAGCCCAACTTTTGAGAAAGCAGGCGCCTCTTCGATTTCTGATTTTTATAGTGGCACGCATTACATTCCAAAGCACACTTGAATTGCCGCCTGTAGAAGCTCCCTTCTAAGATCTTGATTTATCCGACCTCTTCTTTTTCTTTAACTTTTTCGGAATGTCGTGCCCATATGATCGTCATCTTAACTTGAATGTTGGGGAAGATATTGACATGTCTTCTCCAAACAAACATTTGGCATCCGTCTTTCTTATCCCCCAATAGTCATCTTACAATTAGGGACTCTGTGATGAAGAACGATACAACCGCTTCGGTGGTGGCTAGAAATCTTCCCACTTCAAGAGACAGTAGGATACTTTCTAAGGATCTGACGAGCTGGCTGTTTAGGACTCTCTGGCCTTTAGCGTCCAATGTGCAGGCTTAGTATCAAACATAGGCCAACGCCTTCTTGCTCGATCTTGTCAGATTGAGTCTTTGATAGCTGAGGTGGCTAGTCTTTGGCAAGAGATCAGATGGCTCAGGTACGAGAATAAGGAGTTGCACATGCTCGCAACTAGTTACTCAACGAGTATAAAGAGGAAGCTTGACCAGCTGTAGGATTCTGAAGTTCGGATTTAGAGTGATTATCAAAGGTTTGTGGCGATACTCTAGAGCCAACTTTTACCTTCGTCATCTGACATTTCACCAAGTGTTGAAGCTTCGGAAAATCAAACTCTGGTACTTCGTCTTTTTAGAGCTCCGTCGAGTGCTGAGGCACCACCTGACCAATGGAGGCTCATTCCTGTTTGTTTGCACATTCTTGTAATAATTATTTTATTTTTATTATTTTTTATTTTTTTACTTTTCTACCTAATGTTCATTTCCCACGAAAATCAATGTGAAAACAGCTTGTTTACCTGACAATGTTTCAAACATAAACACACACATAAGCAACCAAACAAGCAACAAATAAACATGGAAAGATAAGGGCAGTAAAAAGAAAGGTTGAAAGAAAGCAAATCTGGATTTAGAGCCGATTCTAGGTGCTCTTTATTGGCATGGGTTGCCTCCCACGAAGCGCTTGCTTTAACATTGTACAGCCGGATGAATACCATCCTTTAAGCCTTCTTGGAGCCCACGGCATGGAGGGGTAGTTCCTCTCCACCATATGCTCCTCAAACAGGTCGTAATAGGGCTTCAAACGATGCCCATTCACCTTGAATTCGTGGTCGGTTTTCAAGCTTTGGACTTGGACTGCACCATAAGGAAAAACATTAGTAACAACAAAAGGTCCAATCCACTTAGAACGTAACTTACCGGGGAATAACCGAAGTTGAGAATCAAAGAGGAGCACTTTCTGCCCCTTGAAGAATGTCTTTGTACGAAGCATCTTATCATGATACGCCTTGGTTTTGTCCTTGTAAATGCAAGCATTCTCGTAAGCCTCGTGCCTAATCTCCTCGACTTCATTCAATTAGAGCTTTCTATGCACCCCAGCTGCATCTATATCCATGTTGAAGGTCTTCACAGCCCAATGTGCCTTATGTTTTAACTCTACGAGGAAATGACATGGCTTACCATAGATGAGCCGAAAAGGTGACATGCCAATAAGAGTTTTGTAGGTTGTACGATAAGCCCACAATGCATCCAACAAAATCAAGGTGAATCGTTTCCAACTTATTATGAACATTTTAAAACTCTTGTAGCTTCATGTCCACAGCACCAAATGAAGGAGGAGCTGCTCATTTAATACTTCTACGAATGACTCCTCCCCATTGAACGCCAAATGCTAGATGCCTCAACAGGTGGCGCGTTGGTAGACAAAACTCTTGTGGCTGCCAAGACTCTAATTGCAAATCGAGCACATAATGCATAACAATATGAGGGTGTTGGACAAAGAGAATGCCCACGGCAACATAGTGTGAATGAGGTACGTGCAATTTCTAAAATTCAATCACAATTAGCAAATCTTACCTCTCTTGTGTCTCAGGTTGTAATTGGGTCAAAAGCACAAGAAAATCAGGTTTACACCGTGTGCTCCATCCAAGGGCATCTATCCGAGAAGTGCCCTCAGTTGATCAAGAATGGAGGATGGGAATCTACCAATGCTATTGGATTCCAAGGCCAAAACCAAACCAAATACGATCCATACTCGAACATATACAACCCCGGATGAAGAGATCACCCTAATATGAAGTGGAGAGAGCCCCAACAACCTGCACAACAAGGGGGATTTCGGCAAAACTACCCTGGGTTTCCACGACCATATCAACAAAATCAACCACCCCCGGCCCAATCTAGAACAGGTTCGTCCATGGATAATTATCGACTTGTTCAATTATTAACCGATGTGGCACAGGGCATGCAAAATCAAGCCAAAGAGGTGGAAGACTTGAAGAAACAAGTGGGACAAATGGCTGAATTCATGGGGCAATTCAGTAGAGAACAAGGTAAGTTACCTAGTTCAACAAATGTGAATCCGAAGGGAGGATCCGAATCTGCCAAAGCCATCACTTTGCGTAATGGAAAAGAAGTTGGAATTGAGTCCGACATTCCCAAATCTACCCAGAAAGAGGATGAAAAATGATGCCTTTGGCAGATTCGAATCCTCCATTCGGATTCACATTTGTTGAACTAGGTAACTTACCTTGTTCTCTACTGAATTGCCCCATGAATTCAGCCATTTGTCCCACTTGTTTCTTCAAGTCTTCCACCTCTTTAGCTTGATTTTGCATGCCCTGCGCCACATTGGTTAATAATTGAACAAGTTGATCATTATCCATGGACGAACCTGTTCTAGATTGGGCCGGGGGTGGTTAATTTTGTTGATATGGCTGTGGAAACACATGGGGGTTTTGCCGAAATCCCCCTTGTTCTGTAGGTTGTTGGGGCTCACTCCAATTCATATTAGGGTGATCTCTCCATCCAGGGTTGTATGTGTTCGAGTATGGATCGTATTTGGTTTGGTTTTGGCCTTGTAATCCAATAGCATTGGCAGATTCCCATCCTCTATTCTCGATCAACTAAAGGCACTTCTCAGATAGATACCCTTGGATGGAGCACACGGTGAAAACCTAATTTTCTTGTGCTTTTGACCCAATTACAACCTGAGACACAAGAGGTGTAAGATTAGCTAATTATGATTTAATTTTAGAAATTGCACTTACCTCATTCACATTATGTTGTCGTGGGCCTTTTCTTTGTCCAACACCCTCATATTGTTGTGCATTATGGGCTTGATTTGCAATTAGAGTCTTGGCAGCCACCAGAATCTTGTCTACCAACGCGCCACCTGCTGAGGCATCTAGCATTTGGTGTTCAATGGGGAGGAGTCATTCGTAGAAGTATTGAATGAGTAGCTCCTCCTTCATTTAGTGTTGTGGACATGAAGCTACAAGAGTTTTAAAACGTTCATAATAAGTTGGAAACGATTCACCTTGATTTTGTTAGATGCATTGTGGGCTTATCGTACAGCTTACAAAACTTCCCTTGGCATGTCACATTTTCGGCTCATCTATGGTAAGCCATGTCATTTCCCCATATAGTTAGAACACAAGGCACATTGGGCTGTGAAGACCTTCAACATGGATATAGATGCAGCTGGGGTGCATAGAAAGCTCTAATTGAATGAAGTCGAGGAGATTAGGCACGAGGCTTATGAGAATGCTCACATTTACAAGGACAAGACCAAGGCGTATCATGATAAGATGTTTCGTACAAAGACATTCTTCAAGGGGTAGAAAGTGCTCCTCTTTGATTCTCGACTTCGGTTATTCCCCGGTAAGTTATGGTCTAAGTGGATTGGACCTTTTGTTGTTACTAATGTTTTTCCTTATGGTGCAGTCCAAGTCTAAAGCTTGAAAACCGGCCACGAATTCAAAGTGAATGGGCATCGTTTGAATCGCTATTACGACCTGTTTGAGGAGCATACGGTGGAGCAACTACCCCTCCATGCCGTGGGCTCCAAGGAATGATGGTATTCATTAGGCTGTATGACGTTAAAGCAAGCGCTTCGTGGGAGGCAACACATGCCAATAAAAAGCACCTAGCATTGGCTCTAAATCCAGATTTACTTTCTTTCAACCATTCTCTTTGCTGCCCTTATCTTTCATGTTTATTTGTTGCTTGTTTGGTTGCTTATGTATGGGTTTATGTTTGAAACATTGTCAGGTAAACAAGCTGTTTTTACATTGATTTTCGTGGGAAATGAACATTAGGTAGAAAAGTAAAAAAATAAAAAATTATTATTATTACAAGAATGTGCAAACAAACAGGAAGGAGCCTGCATTGGTCAGGTGGTGCCTTAGCACTTGACGGAGCTCCAGAAAGACGAAGTGCCAGAGTTTGATTTTCCAGAGCCACAACACTTGGTGAAATGCTAGATGATGAAGGCAAAAGTTGCCTCTAGAGTAACGCCACAAACTTTTGATGATCACTCTGAATTCGAACTTCAGACTCCTACAGTTGGTCAAGCTTCATCTTCATACTCGTTGACTACTAGTTGCGAGCATGTGCAACTCCTTATTCTCATGCTTGAGCCCTCTGATCTCTTGCCGAAGACTAGCCACCTCAGCCATCAAAGACTCAACCTGACGAGATCGAGCAAAAAGGCGTTGGCCCATGTTTGATAATGAGCCTGCACATTGGACGCTGAATGCCAGAGAGTCCTGAACAGCCAGCTCGTCGGATCGCTTGGAAAGTATCCTACTGTCTCTTGGAGTGAGAAGATTTCTAGCCACCATCGAAGCGGTTATATCATTCTTCATCACAGAGTCCCTAATTGTAAGAGGACCATTGGGGGGATAAGAAGGACGGATGCCAAATGTTGTCTGGAGAAGACATGTCAATATCTTCCCCGACATTCAAGTTAAGACGACGGTCAGATGGTCACCACATTTCTGAATGAGTTAAAGAAAAAGAAGAGAGGACCATTATGTGGATAAGAAGGACGGATGACAAATGTTGTCTGGAGAAGACATGTCAATATCTTCCCCGACATTCAAGTTAAGACGACGGTCAGATGGGCATCACATTTCCGAAGGAGTTGAAGAAAAAGAAGAGGTCGGATAAATCAAGATCTTAGAAGGGAGCTTCTATTGGCAGCAATTCAAGTATGCTTTGGAACGTAATGCGTGCCTCTATAAAAATCAGAAATCGAATAGGCGCCTGCTCAGAAATCGAAGAGGCGTCTGCTCAGAAATCGAAGAGGCGCCTGGTTTCTTAAAAGCTGGGCTTGCTCAAAAACCACGGGCCGATCTCCAAATTTTAAAGGATCGACTTTTCCAGACTTATTAGCACCTGTTACACGCAACCTCAGCTTTGCGGAAATTACGGGTAAAGATTTCTGACAAAGTAAAAAACGCATGAATCTTACTATTCAATCACCCAACAGTTACCGACAAGAGTAAAAGAATAGTACCTCTACTGGTTATGAAGAAATTCCTATCAATGTCAACCTTCACCCTCCATAGCAAGGCAGACTTACTCAACCTTTCTTCATCTCTGAGAATGTATTCCCAACGAAGCCTCTTGAGTTACTCAGTGTTCCTCATTCCCTGGGGTACCTCTGCAAACAAGTCATCAAGAGCAAAAGTATTTCAGATCAGGAATGTGGAAAGCAAAAATATCTCATATCATTCTTTCTCCCTGTCATTTTCTTGTCTTTGTTCTCACCTGCGAGAAAAGGAGAAAGAGGGCAATCAGCCAGCACTTAGTATCAATCTTCTGATCTAGAACCGACGTCTTAGAACCCTTTCCTGGTTACTTACCTAGCATTGCTCTCGAGTACTCATCTTCAACTGCTGATGTACTTCCAAAGAAGATGCCACATCTGCTTGGACAACAGATAAGGCAAATGAAAATGATACCTTAAAAGTATGTGGAGACAACATGCTGATTCATCCTCAACTAAGCTAAGGATCATTTGCCATGTCAGACTGCTCATGGTCCGATTTCCTTCAAGAGCAAGTCTCCTCTTCCTTGCTAAGAAGTTCCCCAGCCCAGTTCAAGATTAAACATGTGGAAATATACTTCTTCAAAAGCAAAAGTACCTCATATCATAAGAGTCGAAGGTAAAGATATCTCATAGCATGCTTTTCATTTAACCTTACTCTTGCCTGCAGGACAAGGAGAAAGAAAGAAATCGGTCGGCACTTGGAAAGATTGAACAAAGAAACAGACCATCACCTCTACCTCGTGCCTGCCTGCCATGCAGAAGAAACAAGCAGAGAAAAATGCAGTCTACACAATCATTCAACCCAGCAGAAGAAGTCTGAGTTGAATCCAAGAGCTCGAGAAGTTTCAACAACATATTGACGCATCAATCGCCAAAAAGCAAAGCCTCGCCGTACAATGCCATCAAATCACCACCACCAAGGAATTCTCCTCTTCCTTGCTCAAAACTCCAATCCAGTTCAAGACCAAAGTTGTGGAAAGTCAACAAGCATGACAAAATACGTGCCGATTCATTCACTACCGAAGCCAAAGATCATCTACCTCCATAACCAGATTTGCATTTCTAAACTCAACTCTTTCTTGTTTTTACTCTGCCATGCTTGTCATGTTTGTTAGTTGTGTTGTTTGCTTGTTTGCGTGTAAGTCTATGTTTGAAACATTGAGGACAATGTTTGGGTTAAGTGTAGGGGGTAAACAAGTGTTTTTATTGCAAATTCGTAGTATTTTACCACTAGCATAACTAGAGTTGTGTCTCACTGGTTTTAAGTGTTTTTAGAGTGTTTTAAACTATTTTAGTGAGTCTTGAAAGAAAAATACGAAAATTTGAAAATTTTGAAAAAAAAAATAGAAAAAGTTTTGAAAAACCCAAAAAGAGTTGTTTTTGTGTGTTTGTTTGTGTCTTAGGGTACCTTCCAACACAATGATGAGAATTTGGTTTTTAATTGCATTATTGTTAAAGAAAGTTACAAACATGGATGAATGTTTGATATGCTCTTTGGCTAATACTTGGTTATAGTTGATGTTTACAAATTCACATGTAATCATAAAGAAAAAAAAATCAGTTTTTGTATCAGTTTTTGTAACATGCTTGAAGGAAGGAACTCAAACTAACACTACAACCCTGTGAGACTTTAGCCTAAACGTTATTTGGAGAGTTATTAATCTGTGCATTCTTGTTTTCTAAGTCGTTGCATGGTCTCATTATTCTTTGCTTGGTTGCTACTTAGAATGCGTTTTCATCATTATAGTTCCAAATACTAGAACTCATGCCCGTTCCATTCAAAGCTTAAAATTGAATGCATAACACATAACAAGGTGAAGTTGTTTAGTAGTTACCACCAGAGCCAAAAAGCCTTTATCCCATGCATTTGTTTTGTAGGTTTAACCTCTTTGAGCCTTGTTTAGCCTATTTTCTTTGTTAACCACATTATCCCTAACAAGCCTAGAATAAGACTATCCTTACCCTTGTTCTTAAAGTATAGTGAAGCATAACTTAGAAGGAATTCCTTTTGGGCGACATTATTGTAGAAACAAGTGTGGGGGAAGGGTTTTCAAAGTGTGTGTTTTGTGTGCCAAAGAAATAGGGCACGGGTTTGAAAGAAAGAAAAAGAGTTCTAAATAAGTGAGAATGAGCTCACAAGTGTTGGTTGTTGAAGAAAAGGTCCAAAAGATTGAATCTGGCCATATGTGTTTTGTGAACCTTCCTTTTGTGTTTAAGGTGGATATTTGCATTCAAAAGTGAATTATAAGTGTCAATTTCATTACTTTGCTTACTATTGCTTTAAGAACGTTTGTCTACCCTTACCTTTCCTTGTTAGCCAATACCTAAGCCCCGTTACAACCCTTTGACTTCTATCTTGGGTGTTATGAGTTTCAATCTATGGAGTTTAAAATTGGTATGAGCATATGGAATCCCTGGTTCTCGCTTCTAAGCAGTAGCATTCCGTTCATGGGATCATATATATATACATGCATTAATAATTCCAGAAATTGCTTTCTTTGTTATAAACATATGTGAGTACTAGTTTTCATATTTACATCAATCTTCTCACATATACTTAGTATATAGAGTGTAGTCAGAAAGTCTTGTGTGAAAATAAGAGAGAATCCAGTAAGGAATTGAGGGAATTCTCTAAGGCATGTTACTACATTCAAAATGTTGTTTTAATTGATTAAATGTGAGCTAGTGAATGGTGACTATGATTAAGTGTATGCTCGAGGGTAAGAATTTCTAAAATTCATGTGAGTAGTGATCTTTGGCATGTCATGTTCATTGGAAATCCCTAAGACAATTGTTGGAAGGTCTAGATTGTGTTTTGTTTCTTTTGTTTGTTTCATTTTGCTCGAGGACTAACAAAAGCTAAGTGTGGGGGAATTTGATAGGAGCATATTTATGCAACTTAGTTAGCTTGTTTCTTGGCATTTATTTAGTTAGTTTCTACTTGTGATTTAAGCTATTTTCGTGTGTTTATAGGTTCAAATGACAAAGTTGGCAAGAAAGTGCATTTTGGGCTGAATTGGAGTGCATGCATGTGGAGCAAGTTGGATGGACGTTTTTTGTGCTTAAATGAGGCTAGGAACATGCTACAAATCTGGAGAAACAAATGCAAGTTGCAAGAATGGTTGGTGCACTCACCTAATCCACCAGAAATTGAATGGATGGTGCACTCACCTAAATTGATGGATGATGCACTCACCTGACCTACCAGAAATTGAATGGAATGTGCACTCACCTAACTCACCTAATCCATCATCTCCCTATAAATACTCATTGTCGTGCATCTCATTAGGGGAGACCCATCCACCCTTCACCATAACTCACCTATATCCATCATTCACCATTCTACACATCCATTCACTCCCACACACAATTCCAGCCATTCTCCTTTCCTTGCCGCATCCCTATTCAACCTTAACACATCTCTGACCCTTTCATTCAGCCATAAACATCCATGGTCACTAATGTCGCAGCAAGGTGGGGAAGAAGAAGGGCTTTTGATGTTTCAAGCTTGAAGATTGGAGCGTTTTAGGTGTACTTTGTTCTTGTTTTCAATGTCTACTTTATTATTATCTGATTTTGCTGTAACTATGAGCGGCTAAACCCCTACTTAGCTAGAGGGAAGTTCGAAGCCATGAACATCTTTGAGATATGAATTGATTTCTTCCGATTATGATTTGATAAGTTGTGAATGCAATTCAATTCATTGTTTTCTTCAAAAGTAATTTTTATATCTTGATTAAGGATGCATATTTAGTTTTTATGCATGAATTTGATGCTAGAATATAAATGAGTTTCATCTAATTGTTACAAATTTATATACATGAGTAGTGAAGGTTGCTAGTCACAATCGCGTTAATTGAATTCTTGTCAAACGTATCAAGCTTTCATAGTTATAAATGTCTCGTCAACACTTATGATTTTCATGGAACGTAATGATCTCTAATTGTATCTCTATTATGCATTCATGTAGGGGACCTTTGGAGAATGATTTGGGTTGTCGCATGCATTCATCCAATTCAATGAGTAAAGGAAAATCTGAGGGTTAATTGTGCATTACGGTTAATCTGGGGTGTTGAGCTTCATAATTTATTGAAAAGCAATTGAAAATCGATCCATGTACAAGTGTGTCATGCGTGAAGAAGAACCCTCTAGCTAGCCCATCATCCATTCAAATCACCGAATTCGTACCAAACTTTATCTAGTTTAGCTTCTATCTTGTTTTAGTTCAAATTTGTCAAAACCAAACCCCCCCCCCTTGTTTTAAGTGTCAATTAGGTTAGAATCTGTCTTAGTTTGTGTTTTTAAGTGTTTTGAGTCAAGTTAAAATCAATTTTCGTCCAAAGTCATTCCTAGTGTCTAGTTTGAGTCTATTTAGTTATTTTAAGCTGTTTTGAGTCTTTTAAGTTTGTTTTGAGTCATTAGAGTCTAGTTAAATGTTTTTAAGTTTATTTTTGTGTTTTTGAGTTAGTTTAGAGTAGATTAGCAATCCCTCTAAATCTCCGGTTTATAACGATCTCTACTTATCCATACTACAATTACCAACAAGAGAGTTTAATTTGTGTGTTAAGTTAATTTTCGCATAAGTTATAAAGATAGACTGAAGTGGATAAGTAGACTGGTGGATTATGGATACCTTTTTGGTTGATTTGACTGGCGTAGCATGAGTATAGTTTTGGGATTGTGAAGCTGACAAAAAAAGCTAGCCATCATTTCACACAATTAGCACCATGATTATGGTAACACGGAACAAGTAGAGCAACGGAAAATAATCAACAACAGACATACCAAGCACACAGAGCCTCAAGAGTGTTATAATATGCCCATACTCTGCTCCAAGAAGAAAGAATGGTGCTACCTAAAACCCGAAAATTGAACTTTACTAATCGCTCAAAGCAAGCAATTCCGAATCCAAAAACTGCTTTAGTGTTTTGTTTTTCATTACCTTGAGGGTCATGGATGGCTCTCCTGAGAAAGGTGCTCTCATCTTTAATAAGGCAAGATTTACAGCAGGAAGTATCCGTTTGGCCACACCAAGAATGTCATCTTCTTTGAGGATAAAATCATGCTTCTTTTCGATATTATTTCTGCAAATCATAATCTGAAATAGAAGCATTGGAGACAAATGAAGCCCTCCAAAACAAAGAAAAGAGTGGCCGAAAGGGAAACCACTAGTACCTTTGGCAGATTGAATTCGAGACAAATGAAGCACCCAAAAACAAAAGTCCGATGTGGGAAATCGCTGAGAAAATGCTGAAATAATTGAATTGGTTAAAATTAGATGATTTTCATAGGCTAAAATTAACATAGGAAAAATTGGGGGAAAGTGAATGAGAGTAGTTGTAAGAGTCCACCTAAAGTTGATTCCTTTGGCAAAGCAAGAGGAAAGGAAGAAGAGAGACCCCAAACCAAGCCAAAGGCTTGACCTTGCAACATCTCTCCACATAACCATATCACTCATGAGCTGCCCAATTCGATCAAGGCTACCCCGATACTCATCATCTACTGCAAAACCAAACGGCGAAAACATAAGAACCCAAGAATTTAAAAAGACAAAAGAACGAAAAGAAAAGACAACAATGTCAAATTGGAACGGACTTGATGACGAACTTGGGAAGGGCAAACAGGGAACCAAGACGAGCTTTTCCTTCTTGGACCGCCTTTTCCTCGGCTTCGCAATCTCCTCCACCAAGCCCGAATCTTTCTCTTCCCAAGTCTCAGTCTCTGACCACCTCCGCAACCTCCGAGTGTTCCTCGGCGAGGCACAGCCCAGTAGTCCCATCTGCGAGCCTCTGCCTTTGCACCTGCGGCGCGCCCCTGGAACCTCGACAGCAGGGTCATCAGCCATTTCAAGACGATCCATGAGACGAGTCTTGGATCTTTTTTGGACAGGTGGAGACGAAAGAAGCAGTAGCTCGCGGAGAGGGAGCGATTCGAAAGATTTGCGGGAATGAGCGGAAGGGGATGAAGTCCTCTTGGGTGATGATTTTATGAGGCCGAGAGAGGGGTGGGGGATATGTCCGGTGTGAGCAAGGCGCGAGGCCGACTTGGCCCGGGACGGCGGCTCGGATCGGGAATGGTGGAGATATGGCGGTGTTGTCGTTGATGTCGTTGAATCCATCAAATCAGATTGGGTTTCAATGGAAGATAGCAGTTTCGGGATCAAAGGATTTATGGGTTTTAATTCCAAGTGCAAGATTTCTAGGTTTAATTAAGAGGTTGTGGAAAAGATTTTCGGTTTTTCGGGGTTTTGAGTTTGGGTTGCTTCTTGGTTCTTGAAAATGGCAATGGGGTGATTGAGCTATCTAATGTAGCCGTTAGGGACATTTGAATTTTAACGGCGGGGATGGTGGGGCCGTGACCTTCAACGGGAGGAAATGAACGTGTCTTTGTTTGCCACTTTTTTGTATTAGTACCATGTCACGTTGTATTACTATTTCACGTTTTGCAGTTTAAGTGAATTATTTTATGTAATAATTCTTTATAAATAAAATGTATCAAAAACTTTCTGTAATATGATTCGAATCAAGCTTTCTCCATTTCGATTCTAATGAATTTAGGAAATTGTTATTGCCACTTCAAAAATCTCATTTTGCACTCTAAATTTTCTATAGTTAGAAAGAAAAAAACACTTGCAAGGAGTGTAAAATGAGATTTGTAGAATGCTAATAACAATTCTCTGATTTTATTGTATTATCTCTCATAAAGATTCAAATTAACAAGGAAGATTGTTTTGTTTTTTATGAAACAACAATATACATAAAATTAATTTTAAAAGTGCATAAAAAAATTTGTATTAGACACGAATTTCAACATAATTGTAAAAACAACTCAAAAGACTAAACTAACAACTAAAAAAATCCATGACGCCAGTATCTAGTATAACCTACATCCGAGCCCGCACACCCAAGACAACCAAAACCCTAAAACATAACTGTTACCACGAATCGAAGCCGCGCCGCCACTGAAGAAACTGTAGAACAAAAGGAGAATTTGGTGAAGTTTCAATTTCCAATGACCCTTCATCATCAGACTAAGTTGGCCAAAAACATATGATCAGATCGCCCCGAAGTCCTTCAAATCGGCAACATAAATAAAGTTAGGGAAATAAAAAAAAAATTATAGAATGCCTTTTCGGGGGAACAATTGGAATGAGGGATCAGCAAAAGAGAAGTGAGGGTACTGAAAACTAAGCATAGCTCGAACTAGGTCACCATAAGGAGATTTTTTCTAGTACCGGGTATTCAAACAATACTTCACATGCATTAATACAAGTGGAAGAGAAATATATATTTTTTCGTATTCCTCCACTTATATTATGATACGCGAAATATTTTTTTGGATACCAAGACACTTGAAAAGAAATCTCTACCACAAGAAACTTGTTATTTACTGCTACAAGGGGACTTTTTTTTTTTTTGGAAACTACTACGAAGGGACTTGTTACGTGGAAGATTAACCATAGTTATTTTATACACGTGTTAAATTTTTAGGTCGAGAAATTCTTGTGTGACGGACCTAGATATAATCATTACATGAGGTAGTGATGCATTTCGAAGAAAGAAGTGGTGGTGGGCCATGAGAGGATTTTGTGTCTAACATTCGCACGGACACGCATGTCCGGATGCTAGACCTAAGACTTTCTCTAAAGGAGAGTAATGGAGATGGAGAATTGTATATAGTGGAGAGTTGTAGAGTGTTATCATCCTTCACTTACAGAGCTATAAGCCCAACAGCTACCAACATAAAAGTTAGCTAGGGCATGGAGATGGAGGGTGTGGAGAATGGTTGGCAGAAGAAATGGCAGTTCCGAGGGAACGAAGAACTGAACACGGCGTCGATCTCCGTCCGAGGAGCTCTCACGATGTTAATGAAAAATCTCAGGAACCCAGCTGGTGATGATCAACGGCCCACCATTATGCTTGGCCGCGGGGACCCCACTGAATTCCGATCGTTTTGGACCACTCCGGCGGCTGTTGACGCCGTCGCAGATGCCCTCCATTCCTTCCAGTTCAACTCTTACTGTCCTACCGGCGGTGTTATTCCGGCAAGAAGGTATGTTTGTATGCACTTGTTTAGTTTAGTCTTACTGGAAGTTTAATTTGCTGCTTCATTTTCTTCCGTTCGTTTTGCTTTTATTTTAATTTCCTTTCTCATATTTGCATGTATTTCTAGCCAATATTAAGAAATTCAATGTCACCATTTCCATGTTTACAAACTTTACTTGTAAACACAGAAAATCAGAAAAAATATCTGCATTAGAAAAATACATAAAAAAAGGGGGGGGGGGGGTTCTGTTTGCTATTTGGCTTGTTTAGGAGACTCCAGTTTTATATTTACAAGTAGTTGGTGATTTGGTGCTAATTGCTAATATATAAGGATTCTCTTTCCTTTTTTTTTCTTATTTCCTTTTGTTATCTCTCATTTTTTAACGTTCAAGATTTCATTTTGTTTTTTTCATCTTTTTAGAGAAAGGAAAGAGAAAAAATAACCGTGAGACGATGAGAAGGAAAAATTGAGGGAAAAAGAAAAGAGAGAGAATTTTCATCCTATGTATATAATAGTTTCATTTTTATAGAACTTACTTGCACACTAAGCCTAAAAATATAAGTGTGATACTAATTGTTTGGACCCGAATTTACATCGTCGGTCCGTGCAATCAAGGCCGTTGAGTGAACATAACTTTACACCGTTGGATGGAAAGATGAAGATAATTTTGTTATTAAAAGATATTATTATGGTTTTATTATAATAATTATCTTTTAGTAAAGAATTGTTTTTATAAGATAAATGGGGTGCAATATCTGGTTAAGCAACGGTCTGCGTGCAAATTAAATGGGTGATTGATTGGTGCCGTGCAAGTCTTGGATGCCATGGAAGATGGTCTTTAAGGTACCAGATGATAAGGCATGCATGCGTGGGATAAATGCTACTGATGTTGGGAGAGTTATGATAAGGCAAGAAGTCTAGATAGGCTAGACTTTTGACAGAGTTTGAAAAGTCAAAATGAGGCTTTGATCTTGGAGGGCCAACCATTTGGACGAAAGGTTACTTTAGATAAACATGGAAATAAGGGAATCATCAAGGCCACATGATCCATTTGGGATAATTCGAGAAGTTTAGTCTCGGTTGGTTTCTAAGGTTACGGGATCATGCAGAATATTCCCATTATTTTTCGTAACTCACGACGACAATCCTAGCGTTCTGCTACTATAAATACAAGACATTCAGCAACGGAAAGAGCCCTCTGCAAATCAATACAAAATTGCCCTGCGCAAACTCTCACAACTTGTGATTTTTCTTTTTCCTTTTTCGCTGACACATCTTCCGTTGGCATCAACAGCACTGTGGAAGCAACCGGTGATATCTTAAGTCGGCATAGATAGCTCTGTCACCGTAGAATCGATCGGTCTTGCAGTATCTTCCGTTGGCATCAACAGCACTGCGGCGAGAAAGGTTGATTACCTATCCAAGTCTCGATCAAGAAGGGTTTCTGAACCCTTATTGGTCGAGGTCATCTCATCAGCCTTCTCGGCAAAGTGGGGTGTTACAGTTATTACATTCGGCACATTGAAAGCCGAATTTGATATTGAACTTCGTAAGAATAGTAACCTTGTCTTCAGGTTCGAGAGCCCAAGAGGCCGAGACGTGTTCCTTTCTCGGCCGCAATCGCAAGACGCAGAAGTCAGCCGTGCACCCAACGCAACATCAACAAATTTACTCCTCGGCCGAGCTCGGCCGACGAGTTGGCACGCCCCGCATTCACCGAAGGACGTAGTTAGCTTATTAATTACTCGGCCTGCGCGCCACGTAGGCTTTGTAGTTTCTAGGGTCAACATTTTGGCACGCCTAGTGGGACCCAGTGCTAAACTACGAAGTTCACATGATCTATCTCGATCCGGCTTCAAGGGATGAGTGTTATCGCCTATTAAAGGAGCAAAAACAACTTCTCGAGAGTTTGAGAAGAATTTCTGAAAGGCAAAAGGTCGGGGGGCAAATCTCCACTCCGGCCACAACCAATATTCGGCCTAAGAAAATTGATAATTTGGCCGAAGAACAAAGGCCACTTGTTGTTTCGGTAGAGACTGAAAATATAGTAGGCCTAGAAGAAAAAATTCAAGTCCCTAAGCTATATACAAAAATTGACTTGGAAAAAGATTCGTCAAAAGAATGCTCCAGTGACGAACGAGGCCGAGATATTGGCCTAGCCCGAGAAACTACGCCAATTGATGTGATTATTGGCAATAAAGCCGATATGGAGAAATCCTGTTCGGCTAAGTTATTTGAATTAAAAGCCAAAATTATGCCTGGGGGGCATAATAATTGTTCAGCGCATTCGGCAGCCGATAAAAAATCTTTCGTCAAGTCAAACATATTTGGAGATAGTATTTTATTCGGCCTTGCAAAAATTCAAAGTGAAAGTTTTGATACAAAAAGCCTTCGGCTTGGAATAAAACATTGTTGGCCTCCTCCACTTATAGTAGGGCCACTTTTGTTTTCTTTTACTACAAAATAAAAATAAAAATTATTTTCTTAACAATTCGGCTGATCAGTCGATGCTTAAGAAAATAAAGGGGACATTTTGTGGTACAGTTCGAAGGTTTCGGCGATTAAAATTATTTTAATCTCATCGAGAATGAGTGAATTTAAATAGTTACTTATTCTCGGCCATTCAGCAGTTCTTGTCCTCGACCATAGCTGTCCTCGACCACATGTTTCTTCAAAGACAAAATGTGCGGTATATATATATATATATATATATGTTTGTCAGAACGTACCCATCAACAACATCCCACCACATGAGACAAGCAGAGATTTGATGGCAATTTTCGAGGTATAAGATATATTTGGCAGTGCATTCGGTGAAAAAGCAGTGCATGTGAATTGGCATGCATGCGACGTTTTGGGGTACTTCTTGTTCAATAGTCTCAGCCGAGAGAAATTGCAGTGGTGTGTTCGTCGAGTCGAAAGCCACCCGTGCTAGGTGGTAGGCATTCACGTGGCTGGATGTTTCCATGAGGTAATTAATCGGCGGTTAAAATTATTTTTAATCTTGCCGAGAATGATCGAGCTATAGAGGAGCTGCTCGGTGAAACGACTACTCAATACAGACCTGAAGAAATGGAGGCTTCTCATCTTGATGTATGCACGTCATGGAAATATATATATATATATATATATATATATATATATAAAAGTGTGGGGCTTTGAAAGGTCAAATCAGTTGAGGGAAGGCTTTAAGCCTAAACCCTAGACCTGATGGTTACAGACACTTTCGGCATAATTTGGTGAATATATATATATGGCAGTATCACATGGGTGCTGACATTGGGATATATATATAGATATATATCTA